AACCCTCGGGCGGGAGCGCCGCCGCGCTTCCCAAGCGGCGTGCTATCCAGTGCGCCACTGGGCCGGCCCTTGTGTCAAGCTTACTTTCAGCAAATGTCTGCTCACTCTCCTGAGCCAGCCTGCACTCTGTACTAAACTTTGTATATTTCTTACTTTTGTATTAAACTTGGTGTGGGCCCTGCTTAGTCTCCGGAGCTAGGCTGCACTTTCTCTGTGAAGTCTTTACATCTTATCTGCCACATTAATCCTGTTTTCATCTTCTACTGTGACTCCGCTCTTGAATTCTTTCCTGGGGTGGAGTCAAGACCTGGTGAGAGGATGGAGTGGGTAGAGGCTGGCGATGGGGCCTCCCCAGACCCTCTCCTCTAGCATCAGTGGGACTGGGCAAAGGGTAACCACTTCCCACACTGGTCGAGGAGTGTCAGAAATAAAAGTGATGTTAAGTCCTCTTTCCACATGTTATGGAGTCGCAGGAAAACTCTAAGAACTTCTGCTACTGCTCAACCAGGTGCCTGAAGAGGGCAGAACATGTGGACATGTGTTCTAAACTTGTTTTCCATGGCCTTGGCCCTCAAAAGCAGTCCTTTGGCCTGGGAGAAAATCTCCTCCCAGCCCAGAAAACCTCTCTACAGATGCAGAAGGAATATAAAACAATTTTATTATTGAAGAAGTGTTAAACCATTGTGCAGCACATCACAGACAATCACGGCAGAGTAAAACTTTCTCCTTTTCCATATTACTTTGGTATTTTGTGTAAATCTGCATGTTCCTATCAAGAAAATGGTAACTCTAGAGAAGCGAAATAGAATTATGTTAAGACAGCTTATGATGCTGGGCTGTTAGTTCCTCCTCCCTTCCCTAGGCATCATGGATAACACTCACTGTCACAAAGCAAGACCTGAATAATAAAAGCTTTAGCAGTTGTGGCCTGTCAGGAATTCACAGTAACTATATGGAGGTCAAGGTCCTATCTAGCTTATAATAATTTGGAGAATGCCATTTTCTTCTTGAAACGAAAGGGAGTAAAAGACATGATTTCTCTCACTTTTTTTTCAGAAATAACTGAGAAATTAACTCAGATTAAAGAGCTCCCAAAATTATGATGTCTTCTCCAGTCTCCTCCTAATTCTCTTTCCATCTCCCACTATCACAACAATCCACCTCCTGCTGGATTTATTGGACATAGCAAAGGGTACGTAACTAAAGCCCCAAGCTCACATCTCTCCGGGCCTGACAGATTCAGCAGACTTCACAATCCTCAGATGGCTTCTCGGTTACTTTTCTTTCTCACCAATGTTCAGAACACACACCAGCTGCACAAAATGCTGGTGCCTGTCACCCATATGTCAACACTGCTTGTCACTGAAAATGATACCTGGAACACCATGCATGCATCATGCACAATTGTTGAGTGAAGAAATTAATGAGTGGATGTGGAAGCTGGTGAGGTAAGTGGGGGCAACTGCCAATGACTGATATGTTTTTGGACCAGGTAGAGCCTCAGCAGGTCAAAGCTTGCTTATGAAAGATATTACTGCTGAGCCAGGGGACTTGTACTCTGGCCCAATGAAAAGTACCTTGAGCATGGCGCATTCCCCAGGCTGTGTGCAGGGATCAGGGTGAACCTCAAACAGTGCTGAGTGTTTCAGGTGGAAAATGCTCCTGGACTGATCCACAGTGGGTAGAGGGTGGCAAGACTGATAACAGACTGAGGACCCCGGGCTGTTTCAGACACTGCTTGCCCCATCCAGGCTAATTCCCCAGTCATCACAAAGGTGAAAACACACTGGGCTCCCTGAAGTGCTA